ATGTCGCAGCTCTCTTCCATCTGCAGCGCGGATCAGCTGCCACACGAGCTGCAGTACGCCGCCGCCTCGTTCTTGCAGCCGAACCATCACGACTTGAGCGCCACAGGCACGTTGGCGAGGGCGCCGCCACCACAATCCTCTGCGTGCGCGTCTTCAGGAGTTCACGCCGCTCCGCTGGATCAGTGGCATTGGCATGTCTGGGTGTGTGAGCGTTTACATGTGCAGAGCAGCTGAACGGCACAAATAAAACCAACAAAAAAGAAGGAGCGACAAGAGGCAATGGGACAGCAGGCCGATGGGAATAGCGGCCCAACACAACAACGGCAACGCATGCTGGAGAGGTACGCATACACGCAGCCCGCGGAGTGAGTGCAGTCAACGAAAAACACAAGAAACAAAAAAAGAAACCCCGTGAAGTGAAGCCGAAGCGTGGGCGCGTCCACCGAGCATTGGGGACGCGCAGCAGTAAGTGGGCCGACCAGCAAGCACACACTCCCTCTCTTCCCGTACAGCCCAATCCAGTAAGAAGGGAGGGAGGAGGGAGGTCGCCCACCGAAAGCAATCAAAACCAAAACAACTAAATAAAAAACAGTTACGGTGCTCTACCCATGCAGCCAAGCAGAACGGCAGCGGCAGTTCGTCAAAAGCAAAATAATAATAAAAAAAGACGACCAACGGGCTGCATGAGTGTAGGTGTATGCATGAGCACATTACGGGTGTGCCTCGTGGGGTGGGGCGAGGGCGACAGCCCGTGCAGGAGGACACACACAAAGAGAGAGAAATATATATATTTAAGGGACGGACGAGCTGCGCACCGCTCCCTCACGCCGCCGCCGTCGCAGCAGCCGCCCCACATGCAAGAAGCATAAGCAGCGCAAGGGGGGAGGTGCAGTGCGAGGCCGCGGTGCTGCCGTCACTGTCGCCATGCGTCGCCTTCGTTGTTTTGGTGGCGGCGTTGGCAGCTGGCGGTGTTACCGTTTCCTTCGCACTGCTGTTTGGTTCATCAGCCCCCGTTGCAGCTGTTGGCTGTGGTCCTTCTGCGCCGTTGCCTTTCACTTCCTTTGTTCCCTGAGAGTTGGTTTCCGTGGATTTACTGGCTGCAGCTTTGGCGAGGTTGTCTTTAATCAGCTGCACAAAAGTTTTATTGTGCCCGCAGTACTTATCCACGTCTGCGTCAGTTTTTTTCGCCTGTAAAATGAAGGAATTAAAGTCGCTCCAGTCTCTCTCATTGCAGTAGTCGTGCCACGCGTAAACACCGCCGCCGCAGCAGCACAGCACGCAGAGGGCACACACCAACAGCACACGGCCAGCCATCCTCACTCTTGTCACCGTAGCACACACGCACACGCACAGTCTGGCGAGGGGCAGAGAGAAGAAGGAGGAAGAAAGGAGGGTGAAAATGAGACACGCACGCGCATCATGTTTGCTCCTCACGGTCTCCGCGTGCCTGTGGGTGTGAGAGCAGCAGGCAAGCGAGATGCACACGGCTCTTCAAAGGGAGGGTGCGGCGAGAGGCAGTTAAGCAGAGAAGAGCAGAAGAGAGATGCGCCCATGCGAATTGCCCTCAAAACAAAACAAAAAGATACAACGAAAAGTAAAGAGGAGAAGGAGCATCCCTCAAGGCACACGAGAGACGTTGGCTCACAGGGACGACATGCAAAATGTAGCGCACTAAGAGCATGCGTCATCCCTCC